GGGTCTTTTGGACCCCCAGCATCACCTTAAAGAGTACCTGTCACCACCATCTGCTATCACATGGGGGGGCTTGTAAGCCCCCCCATGTGATAGCAGTCAAAGTAAAGTAAAAAAAACAGTTTTTAAAATTAAAATCAAAATAAATAAATCTACTAATAATAATAAAAAAATGTAAAAGTCCCCCGCGAGCACGCGCGTCGCCACGTAAACACGCGTCAGGTGCGCCTACGCATGAAAATGACGAACGCGCTACACATGTTGGGTATCGCCACGCACGCCGGAGTGAGAGCAATAATTCTAGGGCCAGTATTTTGGGGTATCTCTAAATTGATGACCTGTGGGGGCTTTTAAAGCGTCTTCTGTGGACTTTTTGGGGTACTGCAGTTTTTCGCCGTTTCACGGACGCACGGAATTTGTAAACTGGGCATGTTGGGTATCGTTTTACTCGTTGTAACCTCATCTTTTATATTTCATTGAAAAAATTGGTATTTTGTTGTGTTTTGGGGCATTTAATTAAATTTATCACTAAATTTTGGGGTTTAATGAGGAGTTGCGCTAATATTGCGCAACACAAAAATTTGCAACTACCACCATTTTATTGTATAGGGTCTTGGCATTCAGAAAATATATAATGTTGGGGGGTTTTACGTCATTTTCAGGCCTAAAATGTGGAATATAACATGGGTACAAAAAATGAAAAAAAGGCCTCAGTCATGAAGGGGTTAATAAACAGGTTTTGATCCAATTGTGCCCATGGTCATTATATGACAGTTCTAGTCCTGCTTGGCCAGGCTGGCCAAATATCCTTTGTATGTATATAAGGCAACATGCGTGTCCCACTATTATATAGTCTGTGACTAGACATGGAGGCTGTCACTGCCCAGGTCTATCAGCCAAGGTTTGCTTTGCCATTGAATGCAGCAGCCAATGACTATTTTATCAGTGGCTGCAATTTCCCCTTGTAGGAGTTGTATTTGTATGTTTTGATGTGTCTGTGGTAATGTGTGCGGCCCGTTGAAGTGTTTCACTCTCCTCTCTCCTAGCTCAAGCCGCCGCAGCAACTCCTGGTGCTCCCGCTGCAACAGCGGTAGCAGCCACCGCCACAGCAGCAACCGCTGTCCCGCCTGCAGTTCAGCCAGACTATAGTGCGGCATGGGCAGAGTATTACAGACAGCAAGCAGCATACTATGGACAAGCACCAGGGGCCCCACCCACACAACCTCCTCCAGCACAGCCAGGGCCACAGGTGAGTTTTCTACACTCCAGGAATTGTTTTCCAGGTTCTGTTTTAACTCATCAGCATTGGCCATAAGGCGACACCGCAGGATTCGGTTTTAATTATTCTTGCTAGCAAAAGTGTGCCCATTTCAGAATGAGTAAGGTTGGGTATTATACAAATACCCAACATTGTGTGCAGGTCAGGAGGGTATGATGGGGGAGATGTGTGTGGGTCAGGAGGGTATGATGGGGGGCAATGTGTGTGGGTCAGGAGGGTATGATGGGGGAGATGTGTGTGGGTCAGGAGGGTATGATGGGGGGCAATGTGTGCGGGTCAGGAGGGTATGATGGGGGAGCATTGTGTGAGCGGGTCAGGAGGGTATGATGGGAGACATTGTGACCCATACCATACATCTATTATAGCAGTATTTAGGCTCCCCACGCTCAGAGCTGATTGGCTGTCTTTGGGATGAGGCAGTCTGAAAACTGGGACGGGATGCACAGAAGCAGCCATGTCCCAGAAATCCAATGAGAAGCGGTGGTTCTGAGCAGAGTGGATTGGCCTGTGTATGTTTCTACTTCTCTGACTGCTGGAGATGAATGTTTCCGTTCTTTCTCTTGCAGACCCAGTGAATGTCACTTTCCGTCACTCGTTGCCAGTCTGGAGATAACGGCCTCTGCTGCTGACCTCAATGAGGGGAGAAGCTGTTTAAAAAGTCCTCTAGTTGTATTTTATTTTTTGTTTTTTTTGTTTTGTTATTTTTTTAGGTTCTTCCCCTCCTTCCTCCCCCCAGTTTTGTTTCCCCATCTACAAAACACGACGTAATCTGGCCGTTTGGAGGCCATTTAGTGAGGGCCGGGTGTAGAACTTAGGACTAATCTGAGATCTCCTTGCCCTTCACTTTTCACCGCCCTCCTCCCCCTCCCCCCAAAAAAAGATAATGCGGTTTTATTCACCGGAACATCCCGTGAGTAATGAACTTTATTTTATTTTTATTTTTTATGTAAAAGGATGACTTCCCTTTGTCCCTGTGCTTTTAGTTGGTTGAACATTCCCTGTCAACACCCCTCCCCCCCACCAACCAATGCAGTCTGCCGGGCCCCCTCCAGCTGCAGCCCGGGCTCCGTGAAGTATGCCAGTCACTCCCAGAACCGGGAGGAGGGGGAAGGGGGTTGTGATGTGTTTGTCTTTTCAGAGACATGAAAACTGTACGCTGAGTTTTTACTTTTTATTGCCTGTTTTTAACTTCACAATAAACAATGACAAAACTCTCCCGACTTCTCTCTCTCCTCTTTTCTTTGTCTTCCTCTCTCTCTCGTTTTTGTCTTGATTGTTCTGTTTTTTACTTTTTATTTTATTTTGTCTGTGCGAGACGTCTGTTCAAAGGAAACGAAAATCTCATGATTCATTCTGTGATGTGTGTTTTGGAAACTAAGAGGGAGTCACAATAAAACTGTGAAAGAAAATGGTCTAGTCTCGTTTACATATGGAAGGTTGAGAAAAATGTGGAGGGTGGCGGGAAGGAAATCTCCAAAAAGATCTGCCGCTCAGAGACCGGGGTAAGTGGTGTCCAAGATTGATTACAATGAATCCAAGCAAATAACAAAAGACAGATCCAAAAGAATAATGATCGCCATGTACATCACCATGGAGTAGGGCCGCAACAACTAATCGACTAAGTCCATTATAATCGATGAAGGAAAGTCAACATTTTCCACCGATTTAGTTGGCCTGCTCGCGGCTCCACAGACTCGCCGCTTCTCTCCTCCCCCCGCCCATCCATGGAGAGCAGGCGTGGGGCGGCGGCAACTGTGACAGACCCGATCTCAGGAAAGAAAGTTGCTTGGACTTGGAGAGTGTTCAGGTGAGACTGCCTGCACTTTCCCACACATGGTGCTCTATAATGTATTGCTGGGATTTGTATTCCTCTATAGCTGATGGTACATTGTGCTGTATATTATACATAGGAATACACATCCAGCAATACATTGTACACTGTATGTATAATTTATTGCTGGGATTTGTTGTATTCCTATATAGCTGGTGATATTCTGCACTGCACTGTATAGTGGACTACAAATCCCAGCAATAGTACATTATACAGCGCAATGCAGAATACCACCAGCTATAATGTACTATTGCTGGGATTTGTATTCCTCTATAGCTGATGGTACCTTGCACTATATATTGTACAGAGCAATGTACCATCAGCAATACATTATACAGCGCAACACATAATACAAACAGCTATAGAGGAAAACACATCCCAGCTATAACACATTCTACAGAGCAATGTGCCATCAGCTATAGAGGACTACAAATCCCAGCAATACATTATACACTGTATATAATGTTCTATTACTGGGATTTGTAGTATTCCTCTATAGCTGGTGGTATTCTGCATTGCGCTGTATAATGTACTATATTGCACACCACACTTATTTTTTGTTTTCTTCCGCTGCTCCCAAGCTTGCTCCTGTGATGGACTACAATCTCAATACAAACTAGTAGTCCATCACTGGAGCCATTTTTTTAAATCCGATTAATCGATCGAACTTGATCGGCTAATTGATTTTGAAAATAATCGTTCGCTGCGCCCCTACCATGAATGTCTCCCACGCCTCACGTGGTTCACCACCTCTATGATTAAGCCCCGGTGGTGAAACATTGGCGAGGTGTGGGAGGCATTCATGGTGATGTACATGCCGATCTGCCGATCATTATTCTTTTGGATCTGTTTTTTGGGGAATTTGCTTTTATTCATTGTAATAAATCTTGGATAACACTTTACCCCGGTCTTTGTGCAGCTGATCCTTTCGGAGATTGGTTTGGGAAGTGAGGGGCACGCTATGGCCTGCACCCAGAGTGTGAACTTACTGCAGCCGAGGTTGGAATAGAGCGGTGAGTCCTTGGGGGCTCTGAACTTTGGCGGGGAGGAAAGTTACAAAGATCAGATTTAAGCTTTTAGATTGTAAGCCCTCACGGGCAGGGCCCTCCTTACCATCTTGTCTTAAATTGTATTGTGACTGTAATGTCTTCCTTATATTGTAAAGCGCTGTGCAAACTATTGGCGCTATATAAATCCTGTATTTTATAATAATAAGCTGCCCACAGATCTGCAGATTCTCTATGGTCAGATGGAAAAAGTGCAACAGATTCCTCCATTTACACTAAACTGTGTGGATGGTGGAATCTCCCACAGGGCTAAGCCTCAGTATCTTGCTAGTCGGCCCTGCTGGCTGTCAAAATACCTGAACAATGCCTGCATCCAATCAGATTGTTCAGGTGTTTTGACAGCCAGCGGGGCGACTAGCAAGATACTGAAGCGTGGCCTAGCGGGAGATTCCTCCATCCACAGTTTAGCGTAGATGGAGGAATCTGTTGCACTTTTTCCATCTGACCATAGGAAGTCTGCAGATCATCTATAGGTGTATCGCCAGCTTTAGAAGACCGATTTGAAGTCACCTGGTGCGGTCTCTTTATTGTGTAAGTGAACAGACTGGCACTGATGGTACAGACACAGGTGCCACATGAACAGATGAACGCCAGTGTCCCAGAGCTGGTCCGGCGAGGACCTTGCACAGCTCTGCTGCTGTTGGGTTTCTGCAAAAGATGGCGATGAAGGAGGTTCATCATCTGAATCCAGCTACACTTTAGGAGGTCTGGTTTCAAATGGTGGAAACAATAACAGGGGAGGCCAACGGGGCACTGAAGTGATATTAAAGGAGAACTATGAGGTGGGTGCTTTTCACTCACCTCATAGTTCTAGCCGACCTGTGACAATGAGACTGTCACAGGTCGGCTCAGTAGATCGGGAGGTGAGTGAACACATACCGGTGCTCGCTCACTTCTCGATCCTGTGCCGGCAGAGAGCCGTGACAAGGGAGGGACTGAATTCCCCCCTCCCCTGTCCAATCCTCCAGTGCTGGCGGAATGGATGAGGGAGGGGGCGGTTACAGCTGGCTCTGCCTCTAGATAGGCAGAGATAGCTGTCACTCACGCAGCTGGGCGGATCCAGACATAATTGTTGGGATCCGTTCCGGCTGCGACGTCTCAGTATACCGCCAGCTGTAGCTGGTGGTATACTGAGCTTTGGGTGACGGGAGGACGCTAGTTTGTGTCCTCCCGTTACCCTAAGGAGAACTATGGGGAAAAGCCCTGACCCCCTAGTTCTCTTTTTTAAAGTCAAAAGGTTTGTAGGCCATTTCAAATGGTGATCAAATCTCACAATGGAGGTGGCTTCGTGATGCTCAAAAGTTGTTGTTTTTTTTTTGGTGTGTTTCTGCGCATTCAGCTTGTCCCGATTGTGACGGACCCCCGTACTCAGGATGAGTATGTCCGCCGCTGTCTTCTTCCTTGCTGAGGAGATATTGGAACCTGAAGATCCTTAGCTCCCAGTTTCCCCAGTCACTAGCCAAGGCTGGAGTGTAGGGTAAACAAACTCTGCTTTATTGAACAACTGCACAAACTTTTATACAGCAAGTGATGAAATCAGAATATAATCCCATCACATCCACCTCCCCTCCTCCCAGACCATCGGTCTGCTCAACACCACAGGTGTCCACCTGCTAACGAACTCCAGACAGCCATAGCAGTAGCCTGGCCAGAATGTCATTGTTCTGAGCTCCCTCAGAGAACAATGGGAGATAACGAGGGATGGGGCTGATAGTCTTTCCATAACCAGGTCACACAGCATAACTCACTCAAACATAACTCAATACCAATACACATTTAACTTAACCAATACACATAAACTGATCACCATATCGTCACACCGATATCCTGTCTTTGGGTGGCTCCTTTCTTGTGCAAGTAGCCTTGTTAGAATGTGGGCTGAGGGCACCTGGTACAGGCCCCACTTTGCTGTCTAGATTTGGGGATGTTGTGACCATGTGACAGTAAGGCTGGGTTCACACCTAGGCGTATCGAATATGCGCGTTTGTCGTGCGATTTGCGGTAGAAAAAACGTGTGACAAATGTGCGTTTCAGAGTGCTTCCTGGCTGTATCTCAATGGATAGATGTGGCAAATACGCCCCAAAGAAGCTCCTGTACTTTTTTGGGTGTTTTGCAGCGCGTTCCTACGCGCTGTAAAACGCCCAGGTGGGAACCATGCCCATAGGCAATCATTGATTTTCACATGTTGAGCGTTTTACAGAGCGTAGGAATGCGCTGTAACACGTCCAGGTGTGAACCAGGTCTTAGGCAATGTATAGGCTCAGTAAGAGGCAAGGTCTCAAGTACTCAAAACCGAATGTGCAGTAGGAGGTAATGGTCAGTTGGACAGAGGTGACCAAAGTCAATGTATGTAGGAGGGTGAACAGATGAGATTGAAGTGCCATGTGGCTCTGCCAGCAGGAGGTAATGGTCGGATGGACAGAGGTAACCAAAGTCAATGTATGTAGGAGGAACAAACAGGAGATTGGTCACCTCTGACCATTACCTCCTACTGCTGGCAAAGAGCCACATTGAAGTTCCATGTGGCTCTATACAAGCAGGGGGCTGGTAGGAGGTAATGGCCGGATAGACAGGTGACCAAAGTCAATGTAGGTAGGAGGAGGAGGAGGAACAGACAGGAGATTGAAGTTCCATGTGGCTCTATACAAGCAGGGGGCCGGTAGGAGGTAATGGTCGGATGGCCAGAGGCTTGCTTTTTTCCTCTTTGAAGCTCTGTGTTGGCTTAGGAGGTGGAGCTTAGGGAGGAGGGATTATCCCTTCTGTTGCTTCATCCCCTTTTGTGATGGTGCGTCTCAGTCTGACAGGAACACGTCCCTCATTTTCCTGATTGGTTATCCGGGTCTCCCAAGCAACCGGACTGCTATGTTCCGATTGGTCATGCCCCTTACATGGTACACAAGCAGTGGCGTATGAACATGTTCTGAAGAAGGGGGCGTGGCTCCAGAAATGCATCGACAGCCAGCAGCGGGTTTGAGAGACGTGTTGATTGTGCCTTTCAATGTCCCGCCTGATTGTTTATACCCCTTGAATGGGGTGGTTGTTTCTGTACAGCTAAAAGATTACATGAACGCTTCTCCTTTGTGAGTATAACGGATCACATTTTATCTGTTCTGAGGTAAAGATTTTACACTAGGGTAGGTGCTCTGTCTGGCTTTTGTCTTTTAGGATTATTCCTTCTCCCTGACCATAACGGGGCTGCCTTTACAAGTGCTTCTGGGCTACAATCCTAGGCCCTATGGTGGATGGACAGAGGTGACCAAAGTCAATGTAGGGAGGAGGAGGAACAGATAAGATCGAAGTTCTAGGTGGCTTCTTGCCAGCAGGAGGCTACGGTCGGTGGGACGGGACGGGACGGGACGGGACGGGACGGGACCCAGTGTAGATGGGAGGAGGAACAGACGAGATTGAAGTTCCATGTGGCTCTTTGCCAGCAGAAGGCTGGTAGGAGGCAATGGTCAGTTGGACAGAGGTGACCAAAGTCAATGTAGGTGGGAGAGTGAACAGATGGAATCGAAGTCCTAGGCGGCTCTTTGCCAGCAGGAGGCGATGTTTGGATTTACAAAGGTGGCCAAAGTCAATGTAGGTGGGAGGAATAACAGGGGCAGCGGTGTAATTATAGCCATAGCAGCCACTTGGGCTGCTATGGGCCCTGGGAGTGGAAGGGGGGGGGGGGGTCCCTATTAGGTTGTTGAGGCAAATGAAACCACATGTGAAGATAATCCAGTACTGTATCATGAAGGGTTGGAGTGGTTGCAGTTGATGACGACTCCAATCCTCTGTAAGGTCTACAAGTGTAGAGATGACTTCAGATACACAAGAGGTGTTTTGGGGATCTTGGCATCATTACTCATAGCTTAAAGAGAGGTCATCATGAGGGCCCCGTGATCTGTAGTTATGGCCCTGTACAGGAGCTCTAATTTCTATGAGGCTCTTTGCAAGCCAGAGGCCGGTAGGAGGTAATTTTCGGATGGACAGGGGTGACCGAAGGCAATGTAGAAGGGAGGAGGACCAGACAGGAGATCAAAGTTCTACCGGTATGTGGCTTTTTGCTAGCAGGAGCAGCAATGGGGAGATGCTTCTTGTATGGTGGGCAGAGCGCCAGTCGCATGCAATGCTTCACCCAACACATGATGTCTGGACTCAATCTGACGGTGTTCACCCTCTATTATGGCAAAAGCCAGAGAACCAGGAATAATGGTGCCCAGAAACCCCAAAACAAACCAAGGGAGCTCCTGCTTCTTGGCCTGACCAACCTTGTGAGTATTTGAAGGATATCTGGAAAGCACCCCTCTCTCCTTGTACAGGGCGACTGGTCTTGTCTCCACCCCCTCCTATAAAACAAAACGGTCACGTCTACGTGCTCTCTCTCCCTCCTTGTGCAGGGTGATGGGTCTTGTCTCCGCCCCCTCCTGTAATAAGGACTGGTCACTTCTGCACGCATGCTCTCTCGCGCCTTGTGCCGGGTGACTGGTTTGGTCTCTGCCCCCACCTGCAATAAAGACTGGTCACTTCTGTGCTCTCTCTCCTTGCGTAGGGTGACTGGTCTTGTCTCCGCCCCCTCCTGTAATAAAGACCGCTCACTACTGCTCTCTCTCTCCTTGTGCAGGGTAACTGGTCCTGTACCTGCCCCCTCCTCTAGTGGGCAGAGTCTGCTGGGTCCCTCCACAGCTCTGCTCTCTGCACAGGATATGTACAGCACAGTGATGATGCCACTCCTACTTTTACAAGGTAATATCTGCGTTGGCAAAGGCAGATGGTGCTGCCAAATGGATTTATGCCCTTTGTGGCTATTGGTGAATATTTGTAGTTCAAAGTTTTTGTTCCGGGAGTGCGGCTTTAAAAAAAAAAAAAGGGACATGGCGGGATGAATTAGGTTCTAGGCGCATCATCTGACGCCAGCCAATCAAGATGGGTAAAGATTCCAATCCTGGAAGAAGACCAGCATGTCAGCGCTTAGAGACATTCACATATTCAATAGCTGAGATCTCTGTACGGTTATGTATAGGATCAGGGGTGTTGGGTTTAAAAGTCTCCATATTAAAGCCAGAGGCTCAGCATGACAGTCAGGCACCAAGTATTTTCAGGAGAGCTCAGCAATGGCAGCCAGATTGGTCTCAGTAGATTGATGGATGCTGGTGTACTGCGTAATACGGTACAGATTGGCAGCGGCTCCTCTATTGTAATACATACGGTAACTGACTGCAGAGCGCTCTGCGGTGATAAAGCCCCGCCCCTGTGTTGGTCAGGCCCGCCCGCTCTGCTCTCGGAAGACACGTGGTAACGGACCGGTCACAAGAAGAGTAGAGCTCGCCATGTCTCTGGAGTCGCTGCGGTACAGCAGAGGTTCTCTGCAGGTCCTTAATCAGCTGCTGCTGCCGCACACCAGCCAGTATGACCCGGTGACCGGGGTGCGGGAAGGCGCCGAAGCCATACGGACCATGAAGGTGAGGGGGCGGGGCTATGTGCGGTGGGCGGGGTTAAACGCAAGTAGGTGATTAGGGAGCGACTTGCTGGTTTTCTGCGCCAGTCAGTGAGCTCTGGATAAGCACCTGACCAGAGTCCTGCAGTGCTTTGCTTCTTATAATTCTGGTATACCACGTGATCACCACAACCCATTGATATGTCATGTGATCATCTCACCAAACCCTGTCCACTGATATACCATGTGATCACTCTGCCCCAATATATTATGTGATCAACACACCCACCACAGGCCCTTGTTATGTCATGTGATAATCCCACCCACACTGCCCTTGATATACCATGTGATCACCCTGCACAACGCTGCCCCCCTGATGCATCATGTGTTCACTTCTGCCCACCCAACACAGCTCCTTGATATGTCATGTGATCATCCCACATAATACTGCCACCTGATATACCATGTGATCACCTTGCCACCACTGCCCTGAGGTGTCATGTGATCACCCTGTTCACCACTGCCCCGAAATATCATGTGATCACCCCATCCATCACTGCACCGAGGTATCATGTGATCACCCCATCCATCACTGCCCCGAAGTATCATGTGATCACCCTGTCCATCACTGCCCCGAAGTATCATGTGATCACCCCGTCCATCACTGCCCTGAGGTATCATGTGATCACCACGTCCATCACTGCCCCGAGGAATCATGTGATCACCACGTCCATCACTGCCCCGAAGTATCATGTGATCACCCCATCCATCACTGCCCTGAGGTATCTTGTGATCACCACGTCCATCACTGCCCCGAGGTATCATGTGATCACCCCGTCCATCACTGCCCCGAGGTATCATGTGATCACCACCACAAGCATTGCCCTGATATGTCATGTGGTGTTTTACCTTTTGATGAGAACGGATACAATCCAAAATCCGGTGTCACTCCCGTATACCACCATGAAAAAAATGAATCCCTGTTATGGTGAAATATGTTAGTCTGAGGGGTGTAACCATACACTCGCCCCCTCAGAGCAATTTACTCCATTTATATATGTGGAGCGATGCTTTTGTATGGTATCTTGCAGGTTGGGGGATGGGACAGGCCCAGGGCCCCCTCAGATCTGTGCGACCCCCCCCCCCGTTTTGTAAATTGGTGTGAGCCGAAGTGACCGGAGATGTTCTGTTTATCCGCAGGTCCGTGGAGCTCCCGCCATTGCCATTGTGGGCTCCCTCAGCCTGGCCGTTGAGCTTTCCAACAATCCCCCACAGAAAGTGTCCGATCTTCTGGCCTTTGTTCGGGAGTCCATGGCGCTCTTGGTCGGGGCCCGGCCCACTGCCGTCAACATGAAAAAAGCGTCCGATGAGCTGAATTCTTTCCTGGCTGGGGAGGCGCAGAAGCCAGCGGTGACGGCCCAGGAGCTGACCCAGAGGTGTGTACATTATGGGCCCCTTTTATCTGGGTCTGTGGGTTTGTACCCCAATGACTGAATGCACAGATAGTGCGGAGATCTTCTGTTGTGGCCGACAATCTCTGCACCTGATGGAGAAACATTTCTACTTCTTGTATGAGAAGTGTATAATGTCAATAGATTTGTTGCCATTTACTATGCTGGTGGTTGAGGACTTTCAGCCCAACTTCTTCAACAACTTTATTAAAAAATAGAATTTTGTTCAGTGGAGGGGGGTACCAAAGGGAACACATGGGTGCGAGGGGTCCCAAGGGTGACACAAATGGAAAGGGGTCCTAAGGGGGCCAAAAAGTAGGGGTCCAGAGAGGGTTGTTTGGGCGGAATGCGATCCTGAAGGGGGCCACACATAAGAAGGGGTGCACACAGGGGATGGGGGTCCTAAACTGGACACACAGGGCAAGGGGGGCCACAAAGTGGGGGGCCACAAAGTAGGGGTCCTGAGTGGGCCATATGCGGGGGGGGAGCCCTGTGGGTGGGCCCCACAAAGGGGAAGGGGGTCCCAAGAGGGGTTACACAGGGGAAGAGGGTCCCAAGAGGACCTTACAGGGTAAGGGGTCCCAAGGAAACCACCCTGGGGGTCCCAAGGGAAGGGGGCCACAGAGGAAAAGTAGGTCCCAAGAGGGTCCTCAGTTAGACCACACAGGGAGAAAGTGCTGAGAGAGGGCCTCACAGGAGTTGCGTATCTATTTATTGTTAGTGGCACCCCAACGACTTATATACAACAGCCCAGCACACCCCATCGCATATACTGTGCATTGTGGTGCGCTGCTCTCGTGTATGATTTTTCATCCGTTGTGGCGAGTTGGCAGCGTGTTCATAATGAATGGGCATAACAACCTCTCATTTATTTGACTTTTATTGGCCAAAAAAAAAGAAATATGCAGAATGTGTGAAAAAGTCTTAAAATGCAGCTGATTGGCTGTGCAGTGATGTCTTTTTTCCCGTCGGCCTGAAGATCCACTTGGAAATAAACCCGGGAGTCACTTCGCACCATCTGAACCCTTTGGGTCTCCTTATTGTTGCAGTGTCATCCAATGGGCAGAGTCTCTGCTAGAGAAAGATGTCAAGGACAATCATGTGATCGGAGACCTGGGCGCTCAGTACATCCTGGAGGCCACCCAAGCTTCCGGCGGGGTCTGTATAATGACCCACTGCAACACGGGGTCCCTGGCTACTGCTGGCTATGGCACAGCGCTGGGTAAGTGGCTTCACCAGGGGGGGTTTGTTTCTGGGGCAGTTGTGTAGGAAATGCAAAGACTGATTAGGGCACAATAGGGCCATAGGCAAGGTAGCTGCTTTGGACACCACATTGATCAGAATTGAAATAGGCAACGAGAAAGTGCCCCAATGGCATTGTCTGTACTGGCATGACCCCACCTGATCTATTGCATACAAGTACATCCTCCCTCGTGACGGGGTGACAGCTTTGACCAATTGCACTATCCCTCTGGTTTTGCCGCCGGTGCATGAAGGTTGTAGTTGGGGCTCCTGGACATCAACCAGGCCCTTGCCTCCTGCCTAGGTTGCCCTGCAGATGACCTGCCTCTGGGTAAAGGGAACCTGTGCTGAGATAAATATGGAGGCTCCATACCTGCTCCAGGTCTTGCTTGCTCCAGGTCTTGCCTGCTCCAGGTCATACTGAGAACTTTAGGGGTCGTTCTCACTATGTGCAGTGACTGGTGTATTTTTTCTGCACCTGATTTATCATCAATTCTTTTCTATGTGCTCCATTCACACCACCATGGGGTGAAGAGGTGTGGAAAAATGCAGCATGTCTGTCCACCTTAAGTATCCATCCAACTCCACACTGCAGTTGTAAAAACGCAAGGCATCGCACCCCACACTACCCCACCACTGGTGCACACAGACACCATCCCGCACACTAAAATGAATCATTAGTGTGAACGTCCCTCAGCCAGACCAGTAACTGATATTGCTGCTTCTGTCCCTTCATACAGGTGTGATCCGCTCTCTCCACTCCCTCGGCCGTCTGTCCAATGTCTTCTGCACAGAGACCCGTCCGTATAATCAGGGCTCCCGCCTCACGGCCTACGAGTTGGTGTATGAAGAGATGCCGGCCACTCTCATCACAGACAGCATGGCAGCGGTTACCATCCGAGAGCGTCACGTCAACGGTGAGGTTCCACCCACAATGTAGGCTTCTCTTAAAGCTAAATTGCAGTTTTGGGTAGAGCGTGGAAGAGATTTAGATTCCTGTGTGTGATCCCTTTGGGGAAGATTTTCCCTCACTTCCTGTCCCTATGACACCTGAACATGAAAAGGTGGGCCAGGAAAGCATGGACAGCAATAAAAACATCAGAAGTCCTGACCCTTCTTTAATAAAAATGGGTTGTTATTATGCTGGTGTCCTTTTTGGAGAGATTTCCCATCACTTCCTGTCCTGAAATCTCCCAATAGGGACAAATATGGCAATAAAACCCTGAAAAATGCTCTAGCACTTCCACGTTCTTTCCAAAACGAAAACAAGTTTTTGTCTGAAGTTGGGCTTAAAAGCTGACCACCGGCCTTATCTTCAGTCTTGCACAGTTGTACAGGCTCCTCTCCTAGAGTGATATTGATTGTGTGCACAGATCTGTACCTTCTGGGCTGCTGCTTAAAACGTCTTAATCTGAAATCAGTTTAAAGTCTCATCCTCAATTCTGTCCTCAGCTATCGTGGTGGGAGCCGACCGGGTGGTGGCCAATGGGGACACAGCTAATAAAGTTGGAACATACCAGTTGGCCGTCATTGCAAAGTACCATGGAATACCCTTCTATGTGGCCGCACCGAGCACATCATGTGACCTCAGTCTGCCTACAGGAGCCAGCATCGTCATCGAGGAGAGGCCAAGCCATGAGCTGACGGATATCAATGGCGTCCGCGTGGCAGCTCCAGGTAGGTGGATGGGCCGAGCATGTACAGTACATCTGGGAAAAACTTAATGTTGCACTCTTAGCTAAACACTGACCGCTTCTTTCTGTTGCAGGTATTGGAGTTTGGAACCCAGCGTTTGATGTGACTCCTCATGAGTTGATCACTGGGATAATCACAGAGAAAGGAGTCTTCAAACCAGAAGAGCTTAAAGCTGGCCTGAGCCAAGGTCTTTAAAACTCCTCTGAAGTGTAATACAAGAGAGACTGCTGTGAATGGGGAGGGTGTGGAAGCTAATAATGTACTCGGGTCCAGTCATGAAGGTTTCGGTACTCTATGAAGCCTCCTCTACTGTGTGCCTCATACCATGTGCCTATTACCATGGCAGGACTAGGAGCCTTGTAATAAAGTGAGGGGTGACCAATTTAACTGACATTCCAAAGATCACTGCAAGTGACACCCGACTCTTGAATTGTGACCTCCCTACAACAATAAAATGAGCAGGCCATAAAGTCAAACTCTAGCTAAAACTGTTTCTCTGGTTTGGTTAGAGTAGGGGAAATATTAGGTCTGTTGGGTTATAAATATCATCTGTGTTCCCAATGAGGAGGGTTGTTTTGGCAACCGTCCAGTGATGGGAAATCTCCCTTGTGGAGACGCAGATACCAATAAAAACTATGTTTGGATAGATGTGTGAGGTAGAGGTGGACTTTCAGGGTGAGGTTTTGGTTGGGACGTCTTTCTTTCTCCATTGATGTGAATATCACTTTGTAATAGGGATGCACCGATACCGGTATTTTGGTACCGAGTACCGTTAATTTTTTTCCGGTACTCGCCGATACCGAGTAACGGAAGTCCCATTCAGGAAGCCAGGCAGCGTGTAAAGAGTCGCCACCCGGCTTCCCGATTAACAATAAAGTCCCCTCTTACCTTTAGTATGTGCAGCCTGTCACCCCCGGGGCCTCTCCAGCAAAAACGCGGCCTTCGTCCGGTACCCTGCCGGAGCTGTCTGGCCGGTCAGTCAGGAAGCCGGGCGCCGTGTAATGACGCGACGCCCTGCTTTCTGATTATTGCCTTGGCCGCTGGGCTGGACGGAGCTTATAGGCTGCACTTCCCCGGACTCACCACCATGGAGGTGCCGATGAGCACGATGACCATCTGGATCTCAGCCCTGGGGTCCTGCGGAAGCTCCTCCGCTGCCTGAAGTCAGAGATTTGGGTGCCGGTTTACCAGGGAGGCCCGGCGCATGAACTGCCAGTGCATCCGGATGAAAGACATACACACCAATACATTGCACAGAAAATGGTCACCGATATCGATACTAGTATGGGTATCGGTGCATCCCTACTTTGTAAGGATGTTTCTCAAGGAACTGCTCAACTCGTGAAATGACCTTCAGGGAAGTGGATTCTTTGAAAGTTTAAGGAGAGACCGATCAGGTCAGACAGGACTGCGTTGTGTGGAAGAGCTGTGTAAATCTCAGGACTGGATGGAGAGAAAAACGAATCATTTGGCATAAAATGGCTCCCATATTTCTATTTTATCATTATATCTAGCTGTTTGGCTGGAATTCAACTTTAAAGTATACCTGTCATGAGAACAATATGTGGTCTCCAGTTAATTACTGTATTTTTCCATGTATAAGATGCTACTTTTTCATAAAAATATTTACCTAAAAATGGAGGGGCGTCTTATACACGGGGGGCCGAGAGGAGAACCGCGGTTGTGAAACTGCCGATACCTCTGCAAACTAGCCTCACGAGTGAAACTTCCGATTGCAGAGACAAGCTAACAGGTTTCTTCCAATCATGAGCCTTATGTACCCGACGTCAGCTGATGCTGCGGAGAGCGTGTAGCCAGTGTCCAGATGTAACAGGGAGCGGTAATGTCGGAGCATTCTGAGCCCATAAAATGTCAGAAAACAAAAAAAATCCCGGTAAATACCAATACCAGGAGGCGGCTGTCTTACTCTGCAAAATTGAAACTGGATGTAATCAATTATGCAAAAGAGCATGGAAAATATTGATTACTGCATTTTGGTTAAGAAAAGTGGGGGGCGTCCTATACATGGGGGCGTCTTATAGACTGAAATATACGGTATGTCTCTGTTAAAATGTTGCTTAGGTTTCAGGTACTCAGAACATGGATGCAGCTTGTGAGCGACTGCACACAGTGGGCTTTTGTTTACATGGGTAAGGTCTTCCTGTAGGCCGAGTGTCACTGCAGTAACATGACCAACTGCTAATCTGTTAAAAGGGTCATGGCCTCTTGACATTGACTGCTATTGGGTCTAGTGTTGCCTTTTCGCAGCCTCCTGTAAGGGAAGCTTTATGGCAGGGATGGCCAAACTGCGGCCCTCCAGCTGTGGTGGAACTACGAATCCCATGAGGCTTTGCAAGATTCTCACAGCCACAGACGTGACTCCCGGAGAGAGATGCTTCATGGGATTTGTAGTTTACCGCAGCTGGAGGGCCGGAGTTTGGCCATCCCTGCATTATGGGCTTGTGGCAAAATTCCCCAGCAGCTGGAAGTAGCCCAGTTTTTTGTTTAGTATCTGGGGGTAAGGACCTAAGCTTCCTGCTGGGAATCTTGGTTCCCTTTTCCTTTTTGCAGGTCATTCTTTTTTTTTTTTTTCCCTTCAGTCCTCAAGACTTGTGTTGCTCTGTCACAGTGTCCCCCAGCAAGACACCACCCCATTCCAGCAGGAGGTGGCTTGTCACAGGGAGAGTACCCCCTCATTTTGTCAGGATGTGGTGAATATGCACTCTCTTTTCCTGGGTGGCTTTGAGTAGTCTGTGGGTACCTCCTTTTCCCCTCTGCTCTCTCCCCGTGTTGTGGTCTGAGTGGTGCTTGGTGCATTTACAAGTATGGCTGGTGTGCCTCTGCATGTTGGATGTCGCTGCATGTAGGTGTGCAACTGCCACTACTGCCTTACTTTTGTACAACCATTGGTCTCCTGCCCCATGGAAGGGCTCTTTTATGTGCTAGTAGCAGCCATGTTGGGGGTGGGCGTTGCAGCCATAATATGGATGGGCAAGTGTCACTGTCCACATTTTCAATGGGCAGTGTTGTGAATAGGCAGGTGGTGGCTGATGACATCACACCCTGTGCTCCTTCACTGTTGCTAGGTCTCGGGGGGACTTTTCTACTGGCTGGGAGGATTTTATTGTGCAGTAAGGACTAGGGCTGCAGCTAACGATTATTTTCATAATCGATTAGTTAGCCGATTATTAAGTTCGATTAATCGGATAAAAAAGAGAAAAAAAAGGTTCCAGTGATGGACTACTAGTTTGTATTGAGATTGTAGTCCATCACAGGAGCAAGCTTGGCACGGTGGAAGTAAAAAAAAAAAGTGTGGTGTGCAATATAGTACATTATACAGCGGCGCAGTGCAGAATACCAGCAGCTATAGAGGAATGTAGCAATAGTACATTATACTATAGTACTATAATGTACTATTGCTAGGATTTGTATTTCTCTATAGCTGGGGTTATTCTGCATTGCGCTGTATAAGGATTATACTGCGCAATGCAGATTACCACTGACCAGTTATAGAGGAACAACAAGTCCCAGCAATAATACATTATACAGCGCAATGGAGAATACCACCAGCTATAGAGGAACAACAAGTCCCAGCAATAATACATTATACAGGATGTTTAATGTATTATTGCTGGGATTTGTTGTTCCTCTATAGCTGCTGGTGTTCTACAGTGTGCTACTTTTTTTTTTTATAAACAGGAAACATTAAAACAGGTCCCCCTTACCTGTTTCTGAACCCTTGTAAGTCGCCGCGGCGGCATGCTCTGCGGGCGTCTGTCCGGCTTGTGTGGTGGTCGTGGCATACGCTGCGTGGTCGTGGCGTGCGCGGTGTGCGTAGCGTAACCCGTACCTGTTCCACCATAGCACCCCTCTACTCCTGTTCCACAACGGCACCCCCACACAACTATTCCACCATTGCACGCCCATACACCTGTTCCACTGCTTCACACTCATACAACTGTTCCACACAGCACCCCCACACACCTATTCCACCACTGCATCCCTGCACACCTGTTCCACACTGCACCCCTATTTCACCACTGCACCCCCATACACCTATTCCACTACTTCACCCCCATACACCTGGTCCACACTGCACCCCCATACACCTATTCCACTACTTCACCCCCATACACCTGGTCCACACTGCAGCTCCGTACACCTATTCCACCACTGACTTGCTTTCAGAAGGTGGGCCCTCGATTGTCGGCGGGCCAGCGACGAGGAGGAGAGCAGCGGCGTGCGCGGCTTCAGCGTCCTGTGCGGTGGGCGTGGCTTATGCGGCCTGTGCGGTGGGCACAGCGGCCGCCGCGGGAGCAGCGTGTGACGTGCGGCTCAGGCCGCGTGTGGAGCCCCGAACAGGCAAATCAATCCATAGTCAACGAATCGACGATCGAAAACGTTGCCAACGTTTTCAATTGACTAAATCGATGAACTGTTGCAGCTCTAGTAAGGACCCAGTGCTCCTTTGCAGTCCTGCAGTCTATGATGGATCCAGGGTGTGGTGAGCCTGTTTCGCCCTAGCTTCCTTCCTGGTTGTGGCAGCACCCTGCATTACCTTTCTGCTGGTTACCCTGTGTTTATTGCCTGGGCCACCTCCTGGAAGGACGGTAGTATCAGCACCAATTCAGAGATGATTTGAGGGTCTACAGCCGAGTGATACACAAATAAGATAAATTTTTCTTAATAGTTAAGGTTCTTGAATGCATTTGTATGATTTAATGCCTGAGTCTAGTGTCACTTTAAGTGTCATTAATATATTATAGTACCTTCAATGGCATGATGATTTTTGACTGTGACATAAGAAAATGCATAGATGTAAAAATACTTACTATCAAATTGCATACAGTATATTACTAGATTATCATAATAGTGACTACAATGCATCAAGAATCCTAATTGTAAAAATCAGCATGATGTCATTGTTTGTATTTCTATCAGGGGTGATAACACAATAGCTGATCTGTATTCATTGAAAGCTAAATGTTTAGTAAGCGCAAAGAGGAGGAATCAATGAGATCTGATCATTGGAAGTCCATAGAGCTTAGACTCTTTATTCATGGGTTATGGGATAAAGCCCAACAGGCTATTAGTTCACTTTTGTTCCCTGTTGCAACAGCTGCCGTCTGCCACTAACCAGGTGCCGAGTATGATATTCAGGCATTTTGAGAGCCAGCAGTGCTGACTAGCAAGTT